AGGCCAGCCTGGTCTGCAAGAGCTAGTTCCAGGACAAGCTCCAAAGCTACAGAGAAACCCTGTCTCGAAAAACCAAAAAAAAAAAAAAAATAAAATAAAATAAAAAAATAAAAACTACTGCCACTTAATTGCACATGGCTTCAGGGAGGGGCTAACGTATACAGGCTGAGGAAACGCTAGGAGAGGGGCTTATCCATGCAGCTATAGGGAAATCCTCATCCCTGCTGAGTAAAGGATTTCCAGGTGTGGCCTGTTGGGGCCACACTCCTCTAAATCACCCCCTCACCTCTGCTCTGTAAAGAAGCCCAATAAACTCATTGGTTTCCCAGAATGAACTTTGATGGGATTGTGTCATTTGCACCTTAGGAGAAAGGGGACTGCTGTTTATGTTTCCCATTGGGAAAGAATTTAGGAACAATTTGTAATTGTTAAATATAATGATGGTTTATGTTAGAGTTCTTCCTGCAGTACATTCTGTGGATGCAAAGTGACAGGTGTTCGTCACTGCAGTAGCCCACAAAGCAATTATTTCTACTATGGTACAAGTCTCTGCCTGTTCCTACTCCCTCTATCCTCTGGTGACCACTGATCTTTTAAAATATATATACTTCTATTCTTATTTGAAAGACAGAAATCATAGATATCCGAGGAATCGTGTGACATTTAATGCATGTCCATGTGTGGGCTGTGTACTGATCAGGTGACCACTGATCTTGTTACTGTCTCTGTAATTTCATATTTCAGAATGTGTCTTGTTGAAATACAGCCTTTTAGAGTTGCTTCTTTCAAAAAAAAAAAGACTGCCAAACCACATGGGAAGAAGAGCTTCCAGCAACATAAATGATGTGGTAAACAGAATACTGGACACATAAAAATAACTATCCCTTAATCTCTGAAAGTGAAATGAGAATATCTACTGCATGCACTCCACATGTGCCATTAGCCTTGATGAGTGGAACTAAATTTTGCCCACTGTGAATTCTGAAATTCTTCTTCAGAGAGGATTGTAAACCTGCTGATGCCTTGAGAGAACTCAGTTGAGCTATTCAGTGCTGGGAATTTTGATTCACAGAAATGATGATAAATAGTTGTTCTTCATTACCACACTGGCAGGATAGTATCCCGACCACAAAGAGAGGATAGAGCCAAATTTTCCTGTACTGAGATGAAAGACCCACAAGTATGCTTCATAGCTAACATTGTAAAGTACTTACACTGAGAAATTGAGAAGTATAGTAAAAATATTAATATGGCAGGTTAGTAACTGATTTTGTTGTTTACCTCTGCCCATGTTAGTACCACCCATAGGGTGTTTTAAAGTATTTCATTATTGTCTAATTTTTTCTGCATAGGACATAAAATGTGTATCTAATTTTTCAGTTTATGTGGGCATACCCTTTTGTTATTAATAATCCTAAACATTATTTCTTTTTCTTCGATAATATTTGACCATTGGGCACTAATAAATATTTAAGATTTGTGGGTAATTTATATTCATTCTTTTTTGTGCTATTATAATATTCCTTGCACTGAAAAATTTCAGATAATAAAAGTATAAAGAAATTTTCTGGTAATAATTATGTTATACTTAGACTCACACTGAGTTACATTTTTTATTTTTATTCCATAATTAAAAAGTGTTTTCATACAATATATTCTGGTCATTTTCTCCTCCCCAGCTCCCAGGTCCTTCCACATTTCCACCCACCCAACTCTATGTTCTTTCTCTCCCTCTCTCCTTTAAAACAAAACCAAAAATATTTCCACAAGCAATCAAAAACCTACAGAAACTAATATCAAAGCAAACAAAATACCAATAAAACAAAAAAGTTAAAACAAAACAAAACAAAAAGTAAACACACAATAACAACAATAAAAACAAACCAACAACAACAATAAACTTTGAGTTGCTTTTGTGGCCTGCCCTGGAGAATGATTGATGTCCCTGTGACACTCCATTAGAGAAAACTGATTTCTTTTCCCTGAGTGACATTTACGAAAGCTGGATCTTGGAGGTGGCACCAGGTTCATCAGCACAGTCCACCTTGCACTGACACCTGATCACTTAACGTTTGCCTTAAAAGTGATTGAGGTCTAATGTGATATTTAAATTATTCAGTAGCAGTCGATAAGGTACAGAGCAATAGACAGTAATTTAATTTATATTTTTTGTAACAAGTTTCAAATTACTTTTAAATTAAGCAATAATAGAAAAATAGTGTAAGTCTGACGAACACAGTAATCACCCACTTATATTTCAACAGATACTCCACATATGCCAGACACCACCTCAGAGCTCTTTCAGGGAGCCTAGCTACAGGTGTTACAGTAGGGATATACCTGATGCGGTGCCGGGAAGATGGTTCAGTGGAAAAGTGCTGATGCACAATCATGAGGACCAGAGTTCAGATTCTCAACAAACAGCTGGGTGGAGAGGCACATGCCCTATTGATGGGCAAGGGGGCAGAGACAGGAGAATTCTGAAACTATTATCTCATTAGCCAAACTACCAAGCTCTGGGGTCAGGGTGGGGAAAAAAATTACATATTGTCTTCAGTTAGTTTTTTTTGTTTGTTCGTTTGTTTTTAGAAGTTACTAATCATTTGCTGATGTTTGTATTATACATTTAAAATTAAAATTTATTTCTAGCTGGGTGTGGTGGCACATGCTTGTAATCCCCAGCACTTAAGAAGTGAAGGTGAGGGGCTGGAGAAATGGCTCAGCGGTTAAGAGCATTGCCTGCTCTTCCAAAGGTCCTAGTTCAATTCCCAGCAACCACGTGGTGGCTCACAACCGTCTGCAATGAGGTCTGGTGCCCTCTTCTGGCCTGCAGGCATACATGTAGACAGAATATTGTATACAGAATAAATAAATAAATGTTGTTTTTTTTTTTTAAAAAGTGAAGGTGAGAAGTATTCGAGGTTTTTTGTTTTTTTTTTTTTTTTTTTGTAGAACTAACCTGAGATACATGAACATGTTTCAGACAAGCAAAACAGAACAGAATTGGTGTCTCAATACCGAGGAAGTATAAGTAGCAGACTTACCAGTACAAAGCCAGTCTGGTCTATATAATAAGTTATAGGCTAGCCTGGGCTCCATAGCAAGTCTCAAAAACTTGGAAATAAAACAAAATAAAATAAAACAAAAACAATCAATGATTTTATTGGTAAGACCAGCTATGGTGCCATATGCCTTCAATCCCAGCATTCAGGTAATTTACAGTAGGAGATTGATAGCTAATCTAGACTACATCATGAATTTCCAGCCAACAGGTGTGGTCTAGATAATTTTTTCAACAGTAGTAGTTGTAGAAATAGCTTCTTTGTATGTAAAATAGAAAATTAGCTTTCTTTAGAGGAAGTGATATTTATACAGATTAATGGAAAATGTTTACCTATAAAGTAGATTATGACAAACTTTAAATCATGAAAGTTGAGTTTGACAGAGCACAAAAGGAGAATAATGTTTCAAAGAAGTTAGTTTTGAATGTTTTTGTTGGTGACTTTTTTTCAGGAAATCTTAAGTTCTTGGCTATGGATGATTTTAGGAAATTTTATTAAATGTCTAACTTCCTAAGATAGATTTAATATCTAATTTTCTATGATAGATTATTTATATAAAATATTCTGCAACAAAGATCCACCTCTAACCAAGAAGCTATTTGCAGTTGGTACCTAATAGCAAAGGGAAAATTTGTTTTTTCCAATGGAGTGTCATGGGATATATCAGTACACTCAGGTCAGACCTCATGTCCAAGAGTAGTTGGCCAACAAAATGAACTCCATAGTTTTATTTGTTTGTTTTGTTCTATTTTTGTTTGTTTGTTTTGTATGTGTGTATATGTGTGTTTTGGTGGTCTTTATCTTACTGGTATTGTTTACTTATTTGTTTTGTTCTTTGTTTTATGTTCTTTTGAGAGAGAGAACATGAAGTTGGGTAGATCGGGAGGTAATGATCTATGAGGGGTTGGGGAGGAGAAACAGTAATCAAAATATATTGTATTAAAAAGTTTTAAAAGTTAAAGTAATTTAAATATTTGGCTATCATTTATAACATTAAGAAACATTCAAATAATATATTAAAACTTTATATCTTAGTATTAAGAATTTCTTAATTTTTAAAACATTTTTAAGCATGAATATAACTTTTATTACAGTATTTTTCCCTAAAGAAATGAAACATATCATATATATGCTTATACATATATATTCTAAATATACATCAGTACACAATATGGCAATGAGAAACATTAAAATATATATTTCAAATAATGAATATATACTATATATAAATGACATATGTATATATGAGACAGGGTCTTGCTGTATATTCCAGGTTGGCCTCTAACCCCTCCTCCTCCTCTCTAGCACCTGAAGTACTAGGCTAAGGGTATGTGCTAGCACTCCCAGCCTACTTGTGAAATTTTAAAGGTGTACTGTAGTAATAAGAGCGGCGGGGCTGCGTCCCCAGCACCCCGGCTGCCCACATGGCTAGCTTATGCTCCGAAATAACAACACACAAACTGTATTCATTTAAACACTGCTTGGCCCTTTAGCTCTAGCCCTTACTGGCTAATTCTGATATCCCAATCAACCCATCTCTAATAATCTGTGAGCACCGGTCTTACCGGGAAAGATTCAGCCTGTCTAACCTGGTGGCTTGCTTCATCGCGTGCGTCTGCCCGGGAGAGAGGAGCATGGCGTCTCTGCACTCACTTCTTCTTCCTCCCAGCATTCTGTTCTGTTTACTCCTCCCACCTATGTTTTAACCTATGAGACCAAGCAGTTTCTTTATTACTTAACCAATGAATTCAACAGATTGATATATGACACTCCCACATCAGTGTACTTTAAAAAGTAAGTTATAACAAACTCATCATTTCCTCTTATTAGTTTTCCAAAGAGTTTATTAACACATTAATAAAGTAATTTAAAAATTCTCAAATTGTCATTTACTGTGTTAATGTTCTGTGATTCTTTCTTTTCTTTTTTCTCATCTAGTGAACAGATACGGTCCAGAGCTATGCACGGATCACTGTAGTTGGCGATTGTGAGCATTCAATAATGAGTGGAGCAGCTTTAGGACTGGAGATTGTTTTTGTCTTCTTTCTGGCACTGTTCCTCCTTCATCGATATGGAGACTTTAAGAAACAGCACAGGCTTGTAATCATTGGAACACTGCTCGCTTGGTATCTCTGCTTTCTTATTGTCTTCATACTGCCGCTGGATGTTAGTACGGTAAGAGGGAAATTGAGATACAAAAGTCAGTTATAATCATACAATTTGAAATATGCTTTGAATAGTGCTTTATTAAAATGATAAAACTATGTGAGGTTATCTTTATATTATGAATTTTGATGTTGTTTAGGAATTTAGGTATTAAATAGTACAGCCAGGAAAATAGGTAGGTAGATTTATGAAATATCCTTTAAGTACTTTGTGAATTCTTGGTTCTCATTGTAAAACTATGTATTCATTGCTTTAGACAATATATAACCGATGCAGACATGCTGCTGCAAATTCCAGCCCTCCTGAAAATAGCAATGTTACGCGAGTGTATGCAGCTGTCACCCCAGCTCCAAGGTATTCTTTCCTTCTACTTTCCTGTTTAATATAAATATTGTGGTTGATAGTTTTGCTATCTCTATTTTGTATTTATAAAGTTTCCCTTATTCCATATTGTTCCTCTACTTTCATCCTTGCTAGTGTGTTTATTATATTGCATGGTATTTAAATACACTTTTCAAGTCTATATCACTATACAATGTGGTACTGAGAAACTTAAAAAAGACACAAGTTTTAGTATGTTTTCACCCCTTACTAAAATCTGAAACCTCTTCTTCATCTCAGTCTGTCTTATATTTAAAATTTTAAACATTAAGTTTCAGCACCATAAATAAATTTATAAAGGAGAAGCACTTTCCACTTCATCTAATTAACAAGAGTTAATACAAGTAAATTTGGCATGGTGGTGCAAGCCTGTAACCCCAGTACATCAAGAGTTCAAGGCCAGCCTCACTTAGGCAGTTCAAGACTAGCCTAGACTACATGAGGCCTTGTTTTTAAAACCCGCAAACAGAAACAAGCTAAAACAAGGTTGTGTGAATAAAGGAGATTTCTTTCATATTACGCATTCTTAAGAAACATTATAGGGCTACATGGTTGACTCAGCAGTTAAGAATACTTCCTGTTGCCGGGCGATGGTGGCGCACGCCTTAATCCCAGCACTTTGGAGGCAGAGGCAGGCGGATCTCTGTGAGTTCGAGACCAGCCTGGTCTACAGAGCTAGTTCCAGGACAGGCTCCAAAGCCACAGAGAAACCCTGTCTTGAAAAACCAAAAAAAAAAAAAAAAAAAAATACTTCCTGTTATTGCAGAGGACCCAAATTCAATTCCCAGCACCTATGATGGGCAGTTCACAACTGACCAAACCTCTGACCTCTGTAGGTACCTGTCCTCATGTGCACGCGCATGCGCACATACACACACAGACACACACACACAACACACAGAAACTTATATACATAATGAAAATAATGTATAAAGGAAACATAATCTCACATGAAGTATTTCAGTGTATTTGTGCATCTTTATAAGAAAATATAGGACCTAGTGAGATAGCTTAGTCAATACAGTACTTGCCTCACAATTATAAGGACCTGAGTTTGGTCCCAAGAGTCCACATAAAAATGTTGTGTACTTGTAATTCCATTGTTGGACTCACTGAACAAGAACCAGCATCGCCAGATTGATGAGCTCCACACCAATTAGAAACCCTGTCTCAAAGGAGTGGGCTAGTGCTCCTGAGGATGATCTCCAAGGTTGTTCTCTGACCTTCTTAGAAACCCTGTCTAAAGGAGTGGGCTAGTGCTCCTGAGGATTATCTCCAAGGTTGTTCTCTGACCTTCTTAGAAACCCTGTCTAAAGGAGTGGGCTAGTGCTCCTGAGGATGATGCCCAAGGGTGCTCTCTGACCTTCTTGTACACACGCACTTTCACACACGTGAACCTGCACATGCAAGAACATCTAACCTGAGCAAAGTTAAATTTCCATGCAAAACTAGCTGGAAATAAGTAATAGTTTGAGGAGTTAGAAGTCCCTGAATTAAAAAGATAGCCTCGTTGTCAAGAAAACTCTTTAAGTGAAAGAATTTATGGTGAGAGACTCTTAACCAGAAAAGATGGACAGAACTGTGTATAGATGTGGGTGCTTATCTAGGCGGAACTGATAGTGTGTCTAATTTAATTAGTATTTTATCCAGGAATTAATCACCTAAATTTCTGTTATATTGAATTCCTATCAAATTCCTATTTCAACCTTCACTACTATATAACAATAAAGGGCAAATATAGCCAGCCTTACAAATAGAATGAGTATGTTTTAAGTGTAATCATTGAGTATTTGATTCTATACGTCTGTTTTCTAAAGATTTCTATGCGGGGCTGGAGAGATGGCTCAGAGGTTATGAGCATTGCCTGCTCTACCAAAGGTCCTGAGTTCAATTCCCAGCAACCACATGTTGGCTCACAACCATCTGTAATGGGGTCTGGTGCCCTCTTCTGGCCTGCAGGGGTATATACACAGAATATTGTATACATAATAAATAAATATTTAAAAAATAAAAGATTTCTACACTACCAGTCAGTTAATTAAATAGTAGGGCTTCTTTTCACTAAATAACTAAAATACACTGAAAATTGGAAACTTAAACGACATTCCTTTTTAGAGTAAACAGTTTTGTTCTGACAGCTTTGTTTTTAAATTTTCTGAGATATTAGGATCTGATCAGTAATTATTAATTTGATACAAATGAACTTTGCTACTCACAAATTTGTATAAACTTTTTTTTAAGAAATAATTATTTGTGATTGACTGACTTTAAATTGTTATAACAGGCAACATCCATGTTTCAAGCCATGGAGTTACATTCCAGATGGAATCATGCCAATTTTCTGGAGGGTAGTTTACTGGACATCACAGTTTTTAACGTGGTAAGTAGAAGTGAAGGATGCATTTGTGGGTAAAGTGATTAATTTTTAGTGAACCTTAATATTTTGAAGTGCGTATGTATATACACACACACATGTCCCAGTTTTTCTGACTCATTTCTCCTATCTTTAAAAAAAAGGAAGAAGAAAGTAAAGAGAAAAAAGGAGACAAAAATAGAAAACAGAAATGAAATATTTTTCTTGTGACTCCTCCCTTCCACGTCACTTCTCCTTTGGCCTTCAGTCCAGTCCTCTTTTATCTCTGTTATTACATAAAAGTGCTTTCACTAAGGTCACTACCTTCCCTTGGTTTCCTTTCTTACATATGTTTTTGACTGAAGTAGAATTATCTAACTTCCTCTCTCCCTTTCTTCCCTCTAGCCTATCCCAAATACCCCATCACACCTATCCCACACCTCCATCCCTAACTTTCAAGTTGATAGCCTCTATTTCTTTGATTATTACTCTTACATGCTACCTGATAAATCAGTTTTTGTTTGTGTATATATGGTTATAGGACTGAGCACTCTACATTGGACAACCATAAAGGGGACTCCTCCCTGGTAGAGGCTAATTGTCCCTCTCCCAGCAGTCGTTAGTTGTCTGTAGTTCTGGCCTAGAGCATTGGTTCTCAATCTATAGGTCATGACTCTTTTGGGGATTGAACAACCCTTTCACAGAGGTCACCTAAGACTATCAGAAAACACAGATATTTACATTATGATTCATAACAGCAAAATTACAGTTTGAAGTAGTAATGAAAATAGTTCCATGTTTGGGCGACAGCACATGAGGAGCTGTGTTAAAGCGTCATAGCATTAGGAAGGTTGAGAACAGCCGGTCTAGAGGTAGCACTGCTCACAATTTTCCTCTTTCCACATAAATATGTTCATAAATATTGCCATTGTTCTGGTTTTATTTATGCAGCTATTTCTAGGAGAGACTGTTTCACCACAGATTTCCTGGTATTCTGTCCCTTAAAAATCTTTCCTCTTCCACAGTGACCCCTTAGGCATAGATGCAAGAGCTGTGGTATAGACTGGGTAGGGTCTGGGCTCCCCACTGTCATCATCTGCATTGTGTTCTCTTGTGTTTCTCTGTTATTGTCTCAATTTGCTGGAAAGAAAAGCTTCTTTGATGAAGTAGTAGCTACACCAATCTGTGGGTGTAAGGATAGGATTTAGAATATAGTAAGGAATTATGCTGGTCTAGCTAAGTGGCTGTACTAGATTGTTCTCTAATGCACATGTCCTCACTACCCTTAGGCAGCAGGGTAGGTTTTCAGTACCAGGCATGATTTCCTTCCTGTTGAGTGATCCTTGACTCCAATTAGACAGATGTTGGTCACCACCAACAAATATGAGTGCTGTTTCCTATACCATCACAGATACCTTGCCATGCTGGTTATTATTCTGGTTCATAGATGTTGCAGTTGGATAGGACTATTTAATTGCTTCCCTCTTTTGGCAGCTTGCATAGTTTACTCAAGGAGGCTAGATTAAACATGTTAGATCCAACTCAAATAATCAAATCTTCTGTCCTAAATGTGCAACGACTTTAGCAATAGGGGCCTCTAACCCTGCCTGCTCATTCACACATTCTCCTTTCCTTCATGGGTGTTTCCCTTACTTCTGTGACCCAGTTCCTGAATGCTGGTCTTCTCTTGAGCCTTGTCTTTAGTCATTTTGCCTGCCTGCTCACACATAGCATCAATTACAGCTGTGGTGTTAATAACAAGTAATGTATTCCAACTTTATTTCTCTACCCATTGTAGTTTGTCTTTCTTCTGTGCTCTAGACTCACAGTTATCTTCTACCTTCTGATCCTTCCTTTCTTAGATATTCTGAAGACCACTAAGTTCTTAAACTGGGTGTAGCAAACATTACAAGAGGAAAACTTACAAAACAAAGTAGAATAGTATCTCTGGAAGTTTATCTTTAATAATCTCGACCATACCCTTAAAATTGCGAGGTTTTCCTTTGTTTATTTGTCTGCTTCCTCTTCACTTTCTAAACTTGAGATCTTTTGTGTGGTCCTTTTCTATTCCTTCTAAAATATGACCTTTTCTCTTGGCATATGACATTGCTGTTTGCCTTAGAATGATAACAGAAGTTATCACATGACAGTTCTCTCACTGTCTATCTTATCAGCACATCTACCTACTTACCATCTCCTTGCCCTCCAGGGATGGAAGATTCATTTTTATTATGGTAACCTCACTTCCTAAAATATGAACTATTTAGCTTGTGTTACTTATAGCTTTCAGGTTTGACAGTGTTTCCTCAACCTTTAAAATAGTGTTCCATGCACATAAATATTCTCTCACCTACAAAAAAGTAAATTTTTTAAAGTCTCTCTCATCTAAAATCTTTTCCATCCTCTACGTCACTAGTATCATTACAGTAAATGTTTTTGGAGACTTAAAAAATTGAAGTATGAAGTCTTATCAAAAATACACTCATTGTATTTAATTCATTTTTCAAAATGGATGTATCCATATACCAGCACCCAGTGCTATCGGCCATTCACAATATGCCTGACCATGTTCTTCTCTAGACATTCCTTATCCTTAAGAGTAACCACACTTTTTACTTCCATCACTATAGATTGATCTGTTGTGCTTAGAAATTTATAAATGTAGACTTCTACAGCATGAATTTCTCTCTCCCTCTGTTTACATACTTTGGAGACTCATTTCTACAGTTTTGTACATTCCATTATTTTGTGACTGTTACTAATTTCTGTGAGACATTCTACTTTATGTGTATGCCGTAGTTTATAATAGGATATCCAGCTAGACTCCTTAAAGAAACCTTCTCCACTTGATGTCTCCATTTGCTCACTGTTACTTTATTCCTTAATCTGTGGTATCCTTTTTTAAAATTAATTAAATTCTTTTCATTTATTTTACAATGCTACTGTAGCTCACCCCCATTCCCTCCCTCTTTTCTGCCCACCTCCCTAATCCACCCTTCCTTTACCTCTGTTCAGAAAGGGGCAGGCCTCCCGTGTGTGCTTACTAAGCATGGGATATCAAGTTGAAGTAGGACTAAGCACCTCTCCTTTTAAGACTGGGCAAGGCAATGAATGCAGCATTAGGAACAGGTTCCCAAAAACCAGCCATAGTATTAGGGACAAGCCCTGCTTCCACTGCCAGGATTCCCACAAGTAGACCAAGTAACCCTGCATCACACATTACGCAGAGGGCCTAGACCTGTCCCATCAGGAATCTCTAACTCTCAGTCCATAGTCTGTAAACTCCCATGAGTAGGCCAGTTGCTTCTGTGAGCGACTCTAACCTCTTACCCCATCCCCCACCCCCAGCTTGTACAATCCTTGCTCCATCTCTTCAATAGGATTCCCTGGGCTCAGCCTAGTGCTTGGCTGTGGACTCTGCATCATCCGTCAGTTACTGGATGAAGGCTCTCTGATGACAATTGGGGTAATTACCAATTTGATTACAGGAGATGGCCAGTTTAGGCTACGTATCCACTATGGCTAGGATTCTTAACTGGGCTCATCCTTGTAGATCTGTGGCAGTTTCCCTTGCACCAGGTTTCTGTCTGACCCTAAAATGCGTCCCCTTTTGAGGCATTTCTTTCAGTACTCTCTTCTTTTACCCTCCGCCCTGAAACTGATCCCTCATGTACCAATCCCCACCTGCCTCCAGTCCATGTACCCATCCCCACCTGCCTCCAGTCCATCCACAAAATCTCTTCTGTTTCCTCTTCCAGGGAGATCTGGGTGTCCCACTTTGGGCCCTCTTTTTTACCTAGCCTTTCTGGGGCTGTGAATTATAGCATGGTTACTCTTTACACCTAATATCCAATTATGAGTGAGTGAGTATATACCATGTTTGTCTTTCTGGGTCAGGGTTACGTCACTCAGGATGATTTTTTTTTCAAGTTCCATCCATTTGTCTGAGAATTTCATGACGGCATTGTTGTTTTTTTTTTTTTTTGACGGTATTGTTTTTAAAAGCTGAGTAATACTTCTGTGTATAAACACCACATTTTCTTTATCTATTCCGTGAGAGATGTCCAGTTTCTGGCTATTATGAATAATCCTGCTGTGAACATAGTCAAGCAAGTGTCCTTGTGTTATGATTGAGCTTCCTTTGGGTTTATTCCCAAGAGTGGTATAGCTGGGTCTTGCGATAGATTGATTCCCATATTTCTGAGAAACTACCATATAAATTTCCAAAGCATATGTACAAATTTACACTTCCACCAGAAGTAGGGGAATGTTCCCCTTGTTCCACATATTCTATAGCATGAGCTGTCACTTGTGTTTTTCTTGGCCATTCTGGCAGGTGTAAAAAGGAATCTCAGAGTTGTTTTGATTTGCATTTCCCTGATGGCTAAGGATGTTGAACATTTCTTTAAGTGTATATTGACTATTTCAAGCTCTCTTATTGAGAATTTTCTGTTTTGATCTGTATCCCATTTTTAAATTAGATTGTTTGGTTTTTTGATACCTAGTTTCTTGAGTTCTTTATATATTTTGGACATCAGCCTTCTCTCAGATGTGGGACTGCTGAAGATCTTTTCCCATTTTGTAGGCTGCCATTTTTCCTACTGATGGTACCCTTTGCCTCTTCAGTTTCATGAGCTCGCATTTATTGTTGATCTTAGTGTCTGTGCTACTGGTCTTCTATTTAGAAAGTTTTCTCCTGTGCCAATGAGTTCAAGGCTATTTCCCACTTTCTCTTCTGTCAGGTTCAGTGTAACTGGATTTGTGTTGAGGTCTTTGATCCACTTGGACTCGAATTTTGTGCAGGGTGATAGATATAGATCTATTTGCATTCTTGTACATGTTAATATCCAGTTTGCCAACACCATTTGTTAAAGATGTTCTCTTTTTTTCCATTCTATAATTTTGGCTTCTTTGTCAAAAATCAAGTGTTCATAGGTGTGTGGATTTATATTAGGGTCTTTGATTCCATTCCATTTATCCACCTGTCTTTTTTTATGCCCTGTGTTGTAGAGATCCTGCAGTCCTAGGTCTGTTGTAGGAGGCCACTTGTTTGTTTCCTGGCCACCCAGACTCCTGAAATAACCACACAGAAGCTGTATTAATTAAATCACTGCTTTGCCTATTAGCTCTAACATCTTACATCTTAATTTAACCCATTTCCATTAATCTGTGTATCACCACGTGGTTGTGGCTTACTGGCAAGGTTCCACATCTGTGTCTGGCGGCAGCTCCGTGGCTTCACCTCCTTCCTCCCAGCATTCAATTTAGTTTTTCCCACCTATCTAAGTTCTGCCCTGCTCTGCTATAGGCTCAAAGCAGTTTCTTTATTAACCAATGGTATTCACAGCATACAGAGGGGAATCCCACATCATAGGTCCAAAGGAATGGCGACCACCCCACCCCTCAGGCCCCAGCAGATCTCCACCCCACGTGAAATCCTGTGCTTTTTTTAAGTTTCTTCATTCTTTGGATGTAGTCCAAAGTTGTTCTGTAGAAATGATGTTGTTTATGTCTTTGTTTTTGAAACAGGGTCTGACTATGTAACCCAAGTTGTTCTTAAATCACCAGTCGTCTTCCCAGTGCTAAGATTACAGTTATGTGCCCCAGCTCTGGCCTCTTCACGAGGGCTCAAAGGCCTAGTTTTAAGCCTTTTAGATAATCTGAAGTCACTCATGTTATTCTGCTCTGCATGCCATTGTAGCCCTTTTAGGACCTTTGTTTTTCCCAAAATTTAATATTATATAAATAATTATCTTGGTTCATTCAATATTAACATGTAACTACCCATAATAAAATTTATTAGGGATAAGAGTGATACATTGAGATTCTTGTATTTGGGCTATTTTCAGATTACACAGATACATAATTGAGTTTTTAATCATGTATTTTCCATCCGACTAGGATTCTGCTACCTTTTATGCAGTCATATGCAAGATCTGGAGGCTTTTCCATTACTGGAAAGATAAAAACAGCCCTGATTGAGAATGCAATCTATTATGGCACTTACTTGCTGATATTTGGAGCATTTCTAATTTATGTGGCTGTAAACCCACGTTTGCATTTAGAATGGTAAGAAAAGTAGTCTTTTTAACACTGTTCTGTGTATGTTCGTACTGTTTACAATGAACTTCTTTGCTACATATAAGTAAACAGACACACATGCCAGATTATATGTCTTACAGATACCCCTCAAGGAGTATCTGAATAATGCATATTACTAAGAAATAAAATGCAGAATGGCATGTTTAAGTATAACTAGTAGATGGTAGATTAATGTTTTGACAAATAACTATATGGTAAAGAACAGTTCTATTTTTAATAGAATTTTAAAAAATAAATTTTCCCTCTACAGAAACTTACTTTTCTTTCTTCTGTTTGCCTTGTTGTAGTTTGACAGAATAGTTTTCCTTAATGTTATTTTAAGTTAATATATTTCAATAAATTAAAATCCATTTTGTGAATATGATTTCTAATTATGTATATTATCTCCAAATTTATATATAGAAGAGTAGAGATAGGTCTCATAACACAAGTTAATTTAGCTGTTTACAGGGTTTCTTACCTTAGGAAGTGTTGCGGGAGTTCCTTCCGCTCCTTCATCCAATAGCTGGTTGGTGATCTGTAAGTTTTTTCCCCCTTAAATAAATAACCATTCTATTAATCATAATTCCAAACTGGTGTGGGATTGTTTGTGACTTACGCCTTCAAGGAAGCACTTAGTGAAAAATGTTTTCTCTGGAGGAAATGTGTGTGTGTGTGTGTGTGTGTGTGTGTGTGTGTGTGTGCGTGCACTCACACATTAGTGCATGTGTATGTGCACTATGAATTATCCTATATTCTAATTTTTACTACAACTGAAGCAGTTTTTTCCATATTAAAGTCTATTTCTACAGTCACACTGTCTTTACATTAAAATACCTGGATTATTTCCTGTGACTTAAAAGAGTTGAAAATTTCTTCATACAAAATCCTACTTATGCTTTTGGACAGTTTTCTGAAAACATATATATATATATATATATATATATATATATATATCAGACATGTGCTTATATTTTTTATTTTTTAGGAACCAACTTCAGACTATAGGGATAGCTGCTGCCAACACATGGGGTCTGTTTCTTCTTGTGTTGTTATTGGGGTATGGCTTGGTGGAGATTCCTCGGTCATACTGGAATGGAGCCAAAAGGGGTTATCTACTCATGAAGACTTACTTTAAGGCAGCCAAACTGATGACAGAGAAAGCAGATGCAGAAGAGAACCTGGAGGATGTAATGGAGGTAAGCAAATTTAATCCTCTAAAAGCAGTTCTGATTTAATACTCTGTCTCTGTCGACTGTTCTCTTGACGAGAAATGGTGCCATGTATATCTTTTATTCATCGATAGTACTTAATTTGAAAAGTTATTCAACATTTCTAGGTTGTGCTGATCCTTTGTGAGTTTTATTAACTTGTCAGGGATTTAAAAAAATAATGCATGCAAGTAGGCTTGCATGGTTCAAATTCATTTTCAGGTGTCATCTTTATTTAATTCTCTCAACGTTACAAAATAGATTTTCTTTTTAATCCCATTTTATAAATGAAGAAAATGAAGTTCTGAGAGTTGAAATAACTTTCTTATGTACACACAACTAATAAGGGGAGGCAGGAGATATAACTTTAGTTCACACTTTAACAGCAACCATGACCCTTTTTAAAATAGAAAGAGCCAGATGGTCTCTCCTGTGATTGCTTGGTCACTGTGGTCTGAAAGCAACTGTAGACTCTATGTAAATGAATGAGGGCAAGCTTGTGTCTCAGACTGAGAACAGGTGGGAGACTACTGGATTTGCTTTAGTTTGAAGAGCGCTGATTCTCAACTGTTATCCTTTTCTCTAATGCTAAATAATTTGTGTTGAACTTAAAAATCTGAGACTTAATAGTATTTAGTGCTATTATCATTTAAAAATAGAAATCTAAATATTTTTATTTTTCTCACTGTTTTTTAGGAGGTTCGTAAAGTAAATGAAAGCATTAAGTACAACCACCCATTGAGAAAATGTGTTGATACAATACTTAAAAAGGTAATCATTATATATATTCCCTCAATTTCTTGTGCATATATCTTATATACTACTATAAATTAATATTTCTCATAGAAAAATATGATAAAAAGCATATGATTGAAGTTTTCCAGATGGACTTTATATAAATCTTTACCATAAACACAGCCAATTATAAGTAGAGTTTTTCGTATACTACTGTAAGTTTGATGGTAATTGATAGCATTTTCCCTTGAAGTGTGAAGATAGCAGTAATGTTGCAACTAGCTTCTCACATGTAATTTTATGATAATTGCTATGAAATAAATTACATGGATATTTAATAGATAGGCCATATTGCTGTGATTTTGATGGAGGCGTATTGAATTGCGAGTATATTTGTATGCTCCTGAAATAATTATTTGAAAAGTTCCACAATTACCTTTATGTGCCCAAGTTACCACTGAATTCTTTCTTTTCCTGTATTCTAAATATTTCTACTGGTTATTATTAGCTTCTGTTCCTTTAGCTACAGTTATAGTCATAAGAATAAGTTTTCTAACCATTTCTCTCATTTGTTATTTTATTTAAGGATTTACTTATTATATATACAGTGTTTCGCCTGCAGACGTCATTACAGATGGCTGTGAGCCACCATAAAGTTGCTGGGAATTGAACTCAGGACTTCTGCATACTGTGGCTTCTCAGAGATTTAGCATGTTAAATTTTTTATGATTCTTCTTTATTATTTGGGAAAATAATTAAAGTTTCACCAAGTGCCTGTTATTAGAATAATCTTCTCAATAGTAGTTACTTTATATAGGTATGCTTCCCTTGCCTTTCTCAGTCTCCAGCATAAAGATAAATATTAGAAGTGAAAAGAAACTCAACATTCCTTTGAAATATTTCTTTTGAAAATGTTACCTAGTGAAAGACCTTAACAATTAGAGATGTCAATAAAAGAAGAAAATATTTTTGAGAAAATTAAAAATTTCCAGAATGAAAGATTTTTAATAAAAATAAAGCTTTTATTAAGCTCTATTAAATTTTTATTAAGGATGTATTAAGATTTTATAAAATGATTTTCTTTTAGTGCCCTACAGATTATCAGGAAAAGATGGGTAGAAATATGGATGATTATGAAGATTTTGATGAAAAGCGTAATACCTACCCAAGTGAAAAAAGTTTGGTAAAATTGCATAAACAGGTAACCTTAATTATTAATTGTAGCTATTTTACATACAATTAGAGAATGTGAATTAGATTTATAATTATTGCTAGGTTGAAAGCCTCTGTGCATGTTGACTTGGCAGTTAAACTGCTTGCAACTCAAGTCTGAGAAACTGAACTTAGTCTCCAGTAACTACATAAAAAGCCAGGCATAGTGGTGTGTACCTATTCTTAGTGCTTGGGAGGCAGAGCTAAGCAGAGCTAAGCAGGTAGGTTAGCCTTATCTGCAAGAGCCAGGTTCAGTGAGAGACCCTGTGTCAAAAACTAAGGTAGAGAATGATTGGGCAAGACACTTGATATTGGCTTCTGCCTCCCTCATGCCTAAAATTATACATGCAAGCACCCCCGACCCCAAATGTGTGTGTATGCAAATGAAATATATATCCCAAACTATTGATTTTATTCTTATTATTGTTGAAATGTTTTAACTTTGTGTTTCTGGACAAGGGTACTATTGGCAGTTGGATATAAGAGTTATACCTGTTCTATTATGAGAAAGTATTGTGTCATTTCAAAATATTAACATCCTTGGCCACATTTGGAAAGTGCCATTAGTACTACCTTATGAAGACAAAGACAAAAACCTCCCATTCTCCAGCAAAAAGTTGACCTACTGTTCAGTTATACTGACAGGCTTGTCCCTCTTCTGTTTTAAGGTCATTTATTCAGTTCAAAGGCACCGTCGAACTCAAGTGCAATGGCAAATTCTTTTGGAACAGGCGTTCTATCTAGAAGATGTAGCAAAAAATGAAACTAGTGCAACTCATCAATTTGTTCACACCTTTCAGTCACCCGAGCCAGAAAATCGATTTATCCAATATTTTTATAATCCTACAGTTGGTATGTAATTTGACATAAATTCCAAAGTTAATAATTTTCTACAAGGAAAATGTATGTTTCATCAATTTAATACTAACTTTTCTTTGTATATTAATTTGTTCCATGGGTTAATATTAGGTATCTGATAATCTTATAATTATTTTACTTCTAATTCTCCTTTTTCTATAAGTCATTGGTTGCCTGAATTGGTTCTTTGTCTAAGGGTGGGATCCTATGACACTTTCCCTCTCCTGAATTAACACGTCTAGTGATGTTACCATTGTTCCAGTTTTGTTGCTACAGCCATTTATAGGAGAGACTGTTTCACCATAGACTTCCTGGGATTCTGGGTTTTACAGTCTTTCCGCTTCCTCTCCCATGGTGTTCCTGAGCCATAGATATAGGAGCTGTGGTATATTAAAAAAAAAGATTTATAGATAAATATTTGATTACAAAATAGGTTATAATTACATATAATTTATGGAAGCTGTAAGAAATATCTGTTCTCACTAAGAATGAATCTCAGTATAAATGTGTATCATGGCTTAGACAATTGATAATATAAAACTTTATTAATTAGCTATACTTTGAAAACTGAGCATTCTGAATATTAGCAGAAATTTCTACAAATTCACCAATGGTATTTAAAACATTGTCTCTATAATATTTGGTAGCATTCCTCTCAACACAATGATTATTTTAAAAATGTTTTTGAAATTTCAAATATATTTATGCCTATGATTTTAAATACATATACAAAATACAATTAAAAATAAATTTGTGTACATGACCAAATATGCTTAGAGAGCAAAAATAAATAAATACATACATACTAAAAACTTGAAATGTAGCTTATAATTGAGGAATAACATCACAGAGAGGAAAATTACTGAAGCCATGCAGAACTCTGGAGCAATATTCATAGATAATGGAGATGCGATAGGAAATGTGAACAGTAAACAGAATAGCCTTGCTTGCATTAGGAGGTCAGACAGACAGACCTAAAGCTTTAGTGTAAGTGAGAAAATGCAATGGTAAAAATGCTGGCCAGTCGTCTGACTGCTTATACTCTCTTAGGAATGTGTTGCCAGTAAACACAAAGAAGGAATTTTCAAGAAGGCACAGAATAGTCATGTGGGAAATGGTGTGGAAGACAATGGAGACTGACAGCAGACTGTCCTGGTGTGCTATGGGCCTGTTTGAAGCTGGCGGTAATCTGAAGTGAGAGTAGTCAGTAAAGATGTGACTTTCTTCTGCAGACTCATGTACACAGACTCAGAGTAACCAAGGAGTTGGCTCGAGCTGTGTGGTTTAACCAAACAAGTAGAGTGAAGCTAGAAAGGGTAAAGGAATTGGGACTGGAGAGTAGTTATCCTCAAAGATTGGAATCTGAGCTGGAAAAGGAAGGAAGGACTTTAAAACTTTTCAATAACAGTTCAACGATGGAAGGATAAACGTTCTGTTTGTTCTGATTGTCAGTCAGTATGGTTGATACAGATGAAGGTACCTCTTGCGGATGAGGATGATGGAAGGAATTGGGCTCTATAGAAAGGTTGCTGTTGTTAGCAATCACTGGTTAAGAAAGACCACTGGAATGAGTAGTCAGGTTAGAGAGGAGTATTAAAAGCTGAGCTCATGAGAGGAGAGGACTGAAGGCAATGAAAAAGAACCATCCGTGCACATGCTTAAATAGTCAGGAAACAGTGAGCCTGGACTCTGTATTTTATAACATCGATGTTGATGGACAGAATAGGCTAGTTCTGTACTGGTTGTCCCCAAATTGGAGTTTGCCGTGTCCTCATGATTAGATACAGCTCGTGTGTCATTGACAGGACTACCACAGAGGTAATGTCCTGCTCTCCTCAGTGCATCAGAGCAGGAAGCACATGGGCTATCAGTTTGTACACTGCTGTTGATCGTGTCTCTTCAGTGTGGAGTTGCTACCGTTCCCTGTGCTGTCTGATTGCTGCTAGTTTGAAGACTATAAATATTCTATTACTGATTTAGTTTTCCTAATGGTGGGTTGTTTTTTTTTGTATTTTCCAGAATGGTACTGGGAATGCCTGTTGCGTCCGTGGTTTCACAGGATCCTTGCTGTGCTTTTGTCCATCTTCTCGGTGACTGTTGTGTGGTCAGAGTGCACCTTCTTTAGCACCACTCCTGTCTTATCTCTCTTTGCAGTCTTCATACAGCTGGCAGAAAAAACATACAATTATATTTATATTGAGGTCAGTTTTTTCATATCGGCCATAAATACAACAGTTCATGCAGAAACTTTAACTGTCGTATCTTTTCCTATGTTTCTTCTAGTAAAAAATGAAAGTAGTGGAGTTTCCCACTGTGCTATTATTCAGACTTCCAAAACTGATGTTCATCAATTTACCCAGATTATAAATACTAGGAACTGTAGTTGAAGATCAATGAAAAAGTATAGGCTAGTAATAAAGCATTTTATGAGGTTACTTTGATCCTCTTTTGTCAGTGAAACTACATAGCTTACTGTATTCCTGTAGAGCTGTCAAGAGAATAGGTAAAACAGTTTCCTTCAGGGATCAGAGTCAAATTTTGGATTTAGGAGGTTGAACTGGTTGAAATGTAGATTTATTTTCAAAATTTCATCTTTGCTATTAAAAAAGACACTATTGTTGTATTTGTATTTATATTTTAGGACATCAGTAAATATAGCTGGGGCAAGTGATAATTGTTGTGGCAGTAAGTAAAATAATAAAGTCTTAAATCAGTCTTAACTATTTTTTCCAGATTGCTTGCTTCCTTTCCATCTTCTTCCTAAGTATCTGTGTTTACTCTACGGTGTTCAGGATTCGAGTATTTAATTACTACTACTTGGCTTCACACCATCAGACTGATGCTTACAGCCTTCTTTTCAGCGGCATGTAAGTAGAATTGAGCTTAGAATAAAGAAATGTTTTCATTTTAAGTGCTAATGATAGATCTTTTATTTCTTGTTCATGAATATTGCATGAACATACATTTCTGTGAACTAATTGGTTTTTTTCTTTTTTTTGACTATGAAATGGGTATTTGTAATCACTAACTAAATCCTGTTTGAAGTTTATGGCTAAATTATGAGCGCTATGTTAGGAAAAAAGACAGCCTGAATTTATCAATTTGAAACTTAGTATATGAACAATTGAAAGTTTAGAGGCTACGTTAGATGTAAACAATGTTCTGAAAGTCAGTGGCCTAAAACTGAATTGAATTTCTAAGGACACTAAGAGAAACATTTCTTTCCTAGAGAAATTTAGAGGTCTGGCTTTAGCTACAGGCAATCTATCTAGCCTATTATTAGTCAGATATATAGGATATTTTTAAGACTCAAAGTAATGTCATTGTCAAAATTTTCTTTTTTTAAAAGATGTATTTATTCTATGTACAGCATTCTGCCTGCATGTGGGACTGCAGGCCAGAAGAGGGCAGCACATCTCATTACAGATGGTTGTGAGCCACCATGCAGTTGCTGGGAATTGAACTCAGGACCTTTAGAAGAGCAGGCAGTGCTCTTCACCACTGAGCCATCTCTCCAGCCCCCCTAATGTCAAAATTTTGTCTTACAGAAAAAAATGAAAGCCACTGGTTAGTATCTTGTGGCTGTTAAGAAAACCACAGAGAAACCCTGTCTCGAAAAACCAAAAAAAAAAAAAAAAAAAAGAAAAAGAAAAAATACATAATACAAACAACTTAGGGGAAGAAATATTTATTATATCTAATTGTTTCAGAGACTTTAGTCTACTGTTATTGATTGTTTTGGACCTGAAGTGAGGCTACAAATGGCAAAGAGAGTGTATTGGAGCAGTACTATGCAGCTCATGGGACTTAGGAAGCAAAGACAGACTAATAGGACCCCAAACATGATGTCTTTCCATTCATAACATAACACCAGGAAACCTGCTTCTTCTAGGTAGGCCCTACCTCCTCATGTTACACCACCCTATAAAATAGAGCCACACAGTGAAGATACACCCTTCAACAAATGAGCCTATGACATTCGTTTCATATTTAAGCTATGGCATGAAATTTTAGAAAGTTACAGATACGCTGTGTCACCTTCCTCAAGCTTTTCATCATGATGACATTGTAGTTGCTGTACAATACCAAACTAGAAAATTTACATTGCATATTACTGTTAGCAGCACTGTAGACTTTAATTAGTTCTTACATTTCATCCTTCATTTGTGTGTAGAGTCCTACAGTGATCACCACCTACCTACACAGATCTTTCTCTCACTACAGAAGAACTCTTGTCAATATTACCTCCTTATATTTGAACCTTTCCATTCTCCCAGCCCCAAGTTCTAGCAATGTAAGATAATCATTTTATACTTGATCTTAGCCAGAATGCTGAAAGAAGGCACTCTGAGGCTGCAGTTAAGTATATAGGCATTTGTGTTCTTAAAGGAAATGTGATTAATAGGATTTCAGAATGTGTCCCCAGTAAGGACAGTTTACATAGATAATTAAACTATATATAATATGCAAATAGATGAAAATTATAATTAGAATAATCTGAAATGTTTTTAATACATTTCACTATAATGTAAAATGTGTTTTGTTTTATTTAAAATATATATTTTGGTGCTTTTAAATATTTATTGTAGGTTATTTTGCCGTTTGACTCCCCCTTTATGTCTTAACTTCTTGGGATTGACACACATGGATTCATCCATCTCTCATCAGAATACCCAGCCAACTGCATATACATCTGTAAGTATGACTCTTTAGGTTCATTTTCTGTATCAGGTGTTGTTATGAATCATCTTCTATTGTCAGTAGACAGGCTCAGCAGCATTATGAAACTTCTTTTATCACTAAAGCCTTTGCCTAAAGGTTATGATTGTGAGTACTAATGATGGGGTTAAAGTGACTTTCATTTTAGAATTATAAAAAATTTTTCCTTCATACAGATTACTTAGATGCGCTGCATTAAAACCTGCCTCATAGTAGCATTAGCATTTATATGCATGTTCTTAATGCCCATGGTTTTGTAGTAGTTGTAAAATACTAGACTTCTTTAAAAGAAAGCCTTAACAGGAAAAAGTTTAAAAAATGCATACTTTGTTTCTGAATTTTGAGGTCTTGTTTGTTGACATATTTTCCTGTGGGTAAATTTTCTAATGATGAAAAGGGATGAAAATACGGAACTATGCTGACTTAACTCTTCTCTTGCTCTTCAGATCATGGGTTCCATGAAAGTTTTATCCTTTATTGCAGATGGATTCTATATATATTATCCTATGTTGGTGGTAATTCTCTGCATTGCTACGTATTTTAGGTAGGAAACTTAACATTTCTTTTTCTCATGCTCTTAGTTGGATATGGATATCCCTTCCCCTAAAACACCATTGAATATTTACTGGCTTGGTTTTAGTTATTTGTGTTTGGAAAGGTTATGCGAACTAGGATAGTTTGAAGGCCTCTTTTGAGTGTTTGAGTCATTCTGTTACAGTTATGTAGACTACAGAGTGATAAGATTAATTGCAGGGTGTTAATTCTAAAGTCCTGGACTGAGATACTGACAACCAGCATGGTATATAATACCCCTTCACATCTAGCTTCTTTATAGTAACACAGTTTAGTCTTTGGGCTTTTTCCATATAATTGTTGCTGGGTTTCTAAATCCTGCAGATGATAGCCAACACAAAGGGTCAGGTGAGGAGTACTTATAATCAGGTCATATGTATAAAGTTGAAAGAGAAATACTTCTCTATGCCTAGAAGGTGCATGGGCTACTCTTCTTGTGGGCTCATAGAAAATTATAGAATCTTGGTAAAGGTAAGATTCAAAAAGGTTAAAGCTATTACAGTAATTAATTCATATGAGCCACAGTTACCCATACAAGACTCATACAAGATCAAGCCAGTAATAGTTCCTACAGAGATGGGAATCAATCTCCAGGCTCCGCCCTTCCTGAGGATCCTTTGGCAGTTGATAAGTGCTCTGGCAGGGAGACATTCTTCTTTGAGGCTGAGGTAGGTTTCCCATGCTCCAGTGGCTAGCCCTACATCCATGCACTCATTGGGCTTAGTGGATTATTGTTTTAGAAAAAGATATAAAGTTAGGTGGGGAGGTATTAGGAAGAATGGAGACAGTTAAGAGGGGTAAAGTCGGGATTATAAATAATCATATTCATTGTGTACATATACAAAATTCTCAATAAAAAAGAGTTAATGGAAAGGTATGCTTGCCTTAGCACCTTTTCTCTCTACTTTCTCATATGTTATTCCTCACCTTTATACTTCTGCCCCTGCTTACTGCTTCAATGTCCCAAGATATGTCCAAATTTATAAAAACACTTCATTAGTATAGATATAGATTAATTTTCTTTTCTAATGAAAGTGTTATTAACGTACTTAAATCCTATGTTGCTAGTGCATAAATATTATAAATAGCATATTAACATACTAATAGTAGGTTAATAAGCAATCATGTTTAAATTCTCTACCAAGTTAAAAAATTTTACTTTTTGATAAACAAAATAACTAAAAGATTATAATTGAAAATATGACTTAGCTGAGCATCGTGGCATATGTCTACAATTCTAAGGTTTTGTAGGCTAAGACAGGAGGATCTCAAGTTCAAAATCAGCATGGACTACAGCAAGATCCTGTTTTGCCTTTAGGGTAGAAAAAAAACAATAGCAGATTCTATATGTTTAATGCTATTTTGATTATATGTTTACTTATTTAAAAGTTTTATAAAAGTATTAATGGAACATCATGAGTTTAAGTACTTCTTTTCCTGTTAATTGTCATATTGGGAATGTTAGCATTTTGAGATGAAATGGCTTTGTGACTCAAAATAATATAAATAAGGATAATGCTTTGTCGAATACAAAATCCTAATATAAGAAATCAGAAAGAAGATTGTTGAAAAATAATCATTATGGGGCTGGAAATGTAGCTCAGTGATGTGTTGCCTAGAATGCCCAGCACCCTAGGTTTATTCCCCAGTAGCGTTCACACACACACACGCGCACACACACACACACACACACACACACACACACACACGAAAAGGTTTCTCTCTAAATTAGGAATGGTGGTGTGAGTTGTAAGCGAGCAGCAGGAAGATCCTGCCTTTTGAGAGCAGCCTGAACTGCGTGGTGAACTTAACATGATAATGTGAGTTTGTCTCAAAGAAAACAGGAAGTTTACTCAAAGCCATGCATGCATTCTTCTTACCTGTGTTCTGAGTTAGCCAAATACTTACACATTTCTTAGTATAAATCAGTGATTTTCACTTTATCAGCTGTTTTGCTTTCTTCACACACGCATTTCTCCAGTCCCTCAGATGTGTTTTTATACATATAAAAATAAATATTTGCCGGGCGGTGGTGGCGCATGCCTTTAATCCCAGCACTCGGGAGGCAGAGGCAGGCGGATCTCTGTGAGTTCGAGATAAGCCTGGTCTCCAAGAGCTAGTTCCAGGACAGGCTCCAAAGCCACAGAGAAACCCTGTCTCGAAAAACCAATAAATATTTATTTATTTATTTATTTATTTATTTCTTAGGGTTATGTAAGGATTAAATATGAGTGAATTGTCTGATCCACAGTAGGATTTTAGCAGTATTAATTTTGCCTGTCCATCTCTTGCTTCCTCCCTTGTGTACCATGCTTTTAAAGTGTTCTTATCCTGTATGATAAAATGACAAATAACATTTCAAGTAATTAGCCTCTAGATAAGATAGAATGATCATTTACAATATATAATAGAAACTTTAATTCTTGAGGGAAAACAAAGCATAACATTAAAGTTTGCCTAACTGAGGTTTTTCTAAGCCAAGCAGAGTATCTTAAGCTTGTAATCACAGCACTTGAGAGACTGAGCTTGAGGCCTGCCTATTCCAAATAGTGAATTCTAGGACATCCAGAACTTCAGAGTGGCACCATGTCTCAGAAACCAAAAGATTTTCTAAACAAGAAATCTTTGTATGTAGAGATACTGATTTTTATCTGTACTTTTTGGTATTATAACTTCTCTTTGAATATTTTAAAAAGAACAAGTTGATTTTATTATATTCATTACTTAGCATTCTGGTATAATTATTTTCTAAAGATGTGCTGATAATTTGGTTAGTTTACTTCTGTATAAATATAAAAAGTCTACTGAGTAAAATATGCAACATAAAATTTGTATTGTTTTGTTTTTAGATAAAGTTTTACTATAGTCTCAGCTGGCTTTAAATTCATGACAGTCATTCTGCCTCAGTCCACCAAATTTTGCGATTATAGACATGAAACTTCACACAAGGGTGGACATAAGCATTTTTTTTAAAAAAAAGAGAAAGAAGGACCGTGTAAAGAATAACTAACTGCATTATTATGCAGTTTTCCCTGGTAACTAATAATCATGGTTTCTATGTGGGGGACAATGATAAAGAACAATTTATCAAAATATTTATGAGGTGAAATAATACTGTTTTGAAATCTGCTTCCATTAGTTTGGGAACCCGTTGTTTGAATCTGCTTGGTTTCCAGCAGTTCATGGGAGATAATGATATGACATCAGATCTAGTTGATGAAGGAAAAGAATTAATCAGACGAGGTAAGATTTGTCATTTAAAAAAAAAAATAAAGGGGCAGATTTTAAGTGCTAAGATTCAAATGCAAAATTAATGTTTGTAAAATTTGAGTGTAATTTTTATCTACTTTAAGAAACAGCATACTTTTTTCCTAATACTTGGTGGCCTCATCCAGCCTTAATATGAGGGGATGTACCTAGTCTTGTAATAACTTAATATGCCTTGTTTGGTTGATATCCCTTGGAGGTCTGCCCTTATCTGAAGAGAAAGGAAGAGGAGTAGATCTGTGGGAGTGGGAGGTTGGGGGAGGGATGGTGTAGAGAGGAGAGAGGGGAAACTGCAGTTAGGATGTAATATATAAGAGAAGAATAAAAAAATACATACATAAACCTTTTTTAATTAAAAAGGAAATATAGTGGCTTAACCTAAAATATATATACATGTTTTTTCCCAGAAAGATATTTGAAAATATAATGTAAGATTTATTGTGAAGGAATTCTGCAGTGTAAATTATTAGTTTATTTGCAACTAGATAATAACCACTTATGATCTTGGAATTACAAAATATCTGGTTTAGTTTAGTTCGCAGAGAGGAAAGACAGTTTATTTTAATTCCCAGTTTTAGTGATTTCAATCTGTGGTCACTTGCCCTTCAACCAGTGTAATATATCATGGAAGAGAGTGAGCCAGTTTACGACAGAGAAGCAATGAGAGACGAAGGAGCTGTGGTCCCAGTAGTTTCTTCAGTCTGCCAGTGACTTAACTTCCTTCAATTAGATCCTCTCTTTGAAGGCTCTGTCATCTACCAACAGAAGCACAGCCTGGTGATCAAGACTTTAGGGAATATCCAAGATCCAAACCATAGTAGAGTTGTTGTGTCTTTGTCCTGAAACATATTTGCCAAGTTCTATATAACTATGAGGCTCATTAATTTAGTTATTAGTTTGCTGCTATGTGGAAAATTATTCAAACTGGTTTTTTCCCTCTTAGAGTATAATGATCATTGGTATGCGAATGTGAGTACTATTAAAATACCTAGAGCTTTTCTAAAACCCACTCACAAAGTGGAATGTATTAAGTTTTCTTTTATTCAAGTGATGGTAGGATAGGTGGAAAACCTTAATTTGGGGACATTGTTTAATAGTCTCCAGAATCTCGCTTTCACATGCATTCCTAGGAAGGTAGTGTCTATTTGATGTGATATTTGTATTTGGCATAGCACTCCCTTCCTAGTACTGATAAGACTGGTAAGTTGGGAGACACTGAGAGAACAACTGATAAAATCACCACTCTGTAGACTATCCTAAGGGGCATAGAGCCCCAACACTGTATGTATAACCTGAAGACCTTATATGAGAACAGAATTATACAGAAAGTATAAAGTTAGCGTAGAAGAAAAGTTCAGTATGAGAATGGAAGCTACAGAAAAACAAATTTCAGATCATCCTGAGGAGGGAGAGCTAACGGTAGACAGGCTACAAAGCCATCTCTAGCAAAACCAGGAAACATCATCTCTGTCATGAGGGAACTCTCAGGCCCTCTTTAACAGTAAGTAACCTGTTGCTTTTACTTTGTAGTAAGTTGTGGGGATCATAGTCTGTTCTCCTTGCTTCGGTTACTCTGTATCTAAGTAAACAGTATTCAAATTTGAGGCCATTTTTCTTATCTTTAGAGAAAAGAAAAAGACAAAGGCAAGAGGAAGGTGAAAATCGAAGAAGAGTAAGTACAATATTTTATTAAATTGCTGTGAACTGAAATGTCTAGGAAACACCATAAGAATCTTTCTCGGAGTAAATGATTAAAGATGAGAAACAATAAGCAAATGGCAAAAGATTTTTTTTCCCTTTACTGTGTATGAGTGTTTTGCCTGAGTGCATGTCTTTGTACCATATGCATACCTGGTGCCCAGAGTGCATAAAAGGGCATTTCTCACCTAGAACTGGAATTACAGATGGCTAAGAATTGAATCCTAGTCACTTGGAAGAGCAATGAGTACTCTTAACTAGTAAGCCATCTCACCATCCCTGGATGTATTTTTAAAGAAGGAAAATTTTAATACTTTTATATACATACATTATCCTGTCAGATTTGTTCTTTTAAAAAGTCATTGGTAGTAACTTAATTTGAGTCTAACATCCATCACTTTGTTGCATACAATCACTGTTTATTCAATTAATGAATTCATGAAGCCTTGATAATAAAGAAGATTGGGTTGCTTTACAATTAATATGCTTTTTAAAATGAGGCATTTATATTTTCCTCTTTAGTTCCTTGTAAGTCCTCCATTTGCTGAAGCAAATCTTTTTGAAAGGGGGTAAAAAAGAAGAAAATCTATTCACAATTTCTACAGTATTTTGACACTAATGTATTACGCTGGAAAGTAGCTAAGAGAAGATGTCACAATTGTCTTTGTATAGTCTAGTATATGCCATGTCAAAAGCGATTGTATATTGGGCATAGTAGTACATGCCTTTATCCCAGCACAGAGGCAGACAGAGGCAGCTCTCTGAGTGCTCAGTCAGCCTGGGCTACATAGCACTAGGGCATAATGAGAACCTGTCTCAAAATAAATAAATACTTTAAAAAGATAGATTTGTTATTTATTTCATAATTAGAACCAAATAGTAGACATTATTGGAAATAGAGTTCACCTTCTATTAGGACAGTGGTTCTCAACCTGTGGATCATGGCCCCTGGAGATTAACAACTCTTTCATGGGTGTCACCTATCAGATATTTACATTACAATTTATAACAGTAGCAAACACAATTATAAAGTAGCAATGGAAATCATTTTATGGTTAGGGTCAACACAACATGAGCAACTGTATAAAGGGTCCCAGCATTAGGAAGGCTGAGAACCCAACCCCTATGTTGGGATTTCTAACTTTCAGTTTACCAATTTCTAATAGACTGACTAGATATAGATAAAATATAATGTATCCAAAGGGCCAAAAATGTCTGCCATGAATGTATCCCTGCTTGTACAAAACAGTGGATAGGTGGCTTTCAAATGACCATTCCGATTAAATAAGTATAATGTATAGAATTTCATTTAATGAGATCATGCTATCTTTCATGATAACTCCTGGCTATATGAGTCAGTTTTATTATACTTGTATACAGCCTTAATTTGTTATCAAAAATGACTTACCAGATCTCTAGTATTTGTAGCTTGCTCAAGTAAAAGTATATTATAGCATAACTTTTACATGATCAAGGTAAGCTTGCCATTGTTGTAAAATTTTTGATGTTTTAGATTAATGTGCTAATATAATCATTAATGTTTTGTTTAAATTAAAAGTTATAAAAATTGATTCTAAAGATATCATTAAAATTATGTTGATTTCTGATGAAAAATTGTAATACTCTGCATCTATAATGTTGACAGTGTAACTTTTTGTTATCTATTTGATGGGTTTCTTCTCTAGGAATGGAAAGAACGTTATGGACACAACAGAGAAGATTCCACTAGGAACAGAAATGTTCATCCTGACCCCAAAGAATCGAATTTCTCAGATACTGCTACCAATTGGTGTAAGTAGCTTATTTTATAGTGTGCTTAGGGATTATTTTCCTAATGTTTGTGTTATATAGAAACTGAAACTTTACCCATCTCTGCATTCACAAATATGTCTTAGTGTGTTTAAGAAAGGGGAAATGGACATCAAATAAGTAGTTGTAAGTATATGAATCTAAATAACCAAATTATTTCCAAGGCATGTTCTAGGGAGGTACTTATTTCTACTATTTATCTTATTGTTTTTCTTTGCCTTTCTTCTGATTGATGTAAGTTATTCATTTATTTTTTTTAGGTATTGACTGACTCATATTCAAATGCTTTCCCATATATACAGTGAGAGAAAAGTTTTTTTGGTTTTTTTTGGGGGGGGGTTGTTTCTAGAATGTTCATAATTTAGGGAAGGACTCAAGTTAGGTTTAAGTTCTCTACTATGGTGTGTGTCAAGAAACCTCTGTGTGTCACTAACACAAGGAAGAAACAAGTCCTCTGCCCTTGGGAAGATGCCAGGAACTCTGTTTTTGCACAGGACTTCACACTATGTAGGAGACAAAGTTTTGTCTTTGGTGAAGATGAAATATTGCTGAAGGAGCAAAATTGTCAAGAATTGAGATGTGTTTGAGAATGAGCTGAAGCAGGAAATCTGAGCATCCTTTCCCACCCAGCTGTTCAATTAATTACACAGCAAGAATATGCTGTTAGAGGAAGACTAGAAGCACTGATATCCTTCTAATGTCTGAGAGTGGACAACAAGTACCAAGAACATCCATTTGTACTTGAGTGCCATCTAAATTCAAAGAAAATCTGAAATGTGTAGACTTAAGAGAACTAAGGAAGAGTCTAAATTCACAATAAATACACATTAGATAATTCCATCCCTCAACAACAATGACCCAATTAAAAGAGATGTGCCCCATTCTGAGCATAACTGTTACTTAACTTCTATATTCTTTTAAATGAAATGTCTGGCCTTTAACAAAAAGTTCTGAGTTATATAAGAAAGTAAAATATGAACCATCTTCAAAATATGAAAAAGCAAACATACTAGGTCTAAAAAAGTAACTAAAGTTTTAGAATTATCAGCCAGTTCATTGATGAAAATAACAAATTAGTATGTTAAAAGATATAGTGAGTAGTTTGGTTAATGTGCATAAAGAGATGAAGGGATTTTTACCAGACAGCTGGAAACTATATAAAAGAGCTAATAGGAACTACTAGAGATATTTTGATAGCAGACTCCAATGATGTTGCAGACGTATCATGAGAGTTATTACCAAAGACTATACACCTGGTGCTAAAGGAAATACCTGGGGGGAGTAAAAAAGGATTCTGTCTTAGGGATGGATTTTTATACTAATTATTTCTGTAATAAAAAGTTGAGCTCAGTATTTAGAAATGAATGATAGTTACCAGGAAGAAGGGGGTTTTCATTAGCAAAAGAGTAAGACAGTAGTGTGAGAGAATGTTTGGGATGATGTATTTTTCTCATGACTGGAGTTTAAGCATGAGAAGGTTCATAAGAGGCTTTCCAGACAATTTAGAAACAGATACTGTCAGCTCCAAAGTGTGGATTTCATATTGTAGGTAAGATTTTCAACTTGGAAAGAAGGATGACCATTTTTTAATTTTTATTTTTTATTATTTTAATTATTCATGCAATATATTTTGATCACATTCTTACCACTTTCTATTTCCTCCAAGATCTTTAAGAATTGAAGTGATTATGTCTCAAATTTCAAGCCAAAATAAATGAAGTTTCAATTTGAAACCAAATAAAGTATGATTTAATGATGAACAACTTCATGGTGGTAATGTTGGTTGACGCCGCTTGTTGGTTCCTGGCCACCCAGCCCTGAAATAATCACACAGAAACTGTATTTATTAAATCACTGCTTGGCCAATTAGCTCTACTTCAAGAGCTATTGGCTAACTCTTTCATATTAATTTAACCCATTTTTATTAATCTGTGTATCGCCACGAGACTGTGGGTTACTGGGTAAAGTTCTCAGAGTCTGTCTCTGGTGGAGACCCCATGGCTTCTCTCTGACTCTGCCTCCTTTCTCCCAGCATTCAGCTTAGTTTTTTCCACCTAGCTCTGTTCCCCTATAGCTCTACTATAGGCCCAAAGCAGTTTCATTATTAACCAATGGTAATCACAGCATACAGAGGGAAATCCCTTATCAGTGGTGATACCATAATTAAATGTGAATTCTAATTTTTAGATTCTAAATCTTCACACTATCTACTATGAACTTATAAAATACAAATGAAATGCCACTTCACTAGCTAGATTGCTTTAGAAACTGTCTTCACTATTTTGTATTATACTGTTATATTTGAATCTGATTTTCTAAGAACCAAGCAACCTAAGTTTCTTGTCTTTATAACCAGCTTTTAGATGCAGCCTTGATTTTTTTCTATGATCCATAAGTAAAAGATAATAGAAAAGTAGCCATTGTTTTTTTCTTTTGAATAGCATCCAAGTACACCAGGGCTAATAACAGGACTGAAAGAGACCGAATAGAACTTCTCCAGGATGCAGAACCTTTGGATTTTAATGCAGAGACATTCACTGATGATTCTCTGGAACCTGAGTCAGGAAGGTAAGTTCTGGTTGTGTCACTTGACTCTAGTGTGCCTCTGAAATTTTAATGATGCATTGAGATTGAAAGGGCTGGAGAGACCGCTCAGCGGTTAAGAGCACTGCCTGCTCTTCAAAAGGTCCTGAGTTCAATTCCCAGCAACAGCATGGTGGCTCACAACCATCTATAATGAGATCTGACGCTCTCTTGAGGGAGAGACCTGGTCAGTTGTTCTCAACTTAAACTATGAAACTCAAAATGGACAAGTTCAACAGGACCGCCATACACGGACTGCCCATGCATGCTTAAGCATTGCCAGGCATAAATTTCATTTTCATTGAAATTGAAAATAAAGATGATTAAGCATGAGGAAAATATTGGGCTTGGTGGGAGTATTCTTGCCTGGTATGCACAAGGCCCCAATTAGATGTATAGCAAGAGAAAAAGAAATTCCCTTTTCACTGTTAATTCAAAAATTTGAAGTAGCATTTAATCCCCTTTTTTGTTTTGTTTTGCTTTCTGAGAACAAGTCTCATCCAACCCAGGTTGCCTTCTAGCTTGCTGTGTGGCCAACGATGATTTTGATCTGATCCCCTTGTTTTCACCTCCTACTACAGGAATTCACCACCGCACTCAGTTTGTCTATTACTGGGGAGTTAATCCAAAGAGTTGTGTATGCTAGGCCAGCATGTACCAACTAAGCTGTGTACTTAGTTAGCACTTGATACCTGTTTGGTATCAAGTTTATATTTTTAAATATCTAGTTTATATTTTTAAAAATTATGACATTCTGCCAAGTGTGATGACATCTCCTGTAATCTTAGCATTTGAACAACTAAGACATGAGGAGCAAAATGAGTTTCAGGCCACATTAGAACACATAGTAAATTTCATGCCACAATCAGAAATACAGTGAGCTCTGCTGAAGAAAAACAGACCAAACAAAAAAATTATATCATTCTGTAGTTCTTACTGAAATAGATATCTTTATGTAATAGCAGTGACATTAGAAATAAGAAAGAATTGAGACAAAGAACAAAGAACCATGATTTTATTTATATCTCTATTTAACAGTCCCATTTATGGAATTCATTATCTTTAGCCATATCTGTATAGCTAATGTGTTTTGATGTCAGACCTAATATAAACATTTTAACAAAATTGTCTTTTACTGCAAAAATTCTTACTGGATTAATGTTCTCAAAAGCTCAATTTTCCTGGAGTCACAGTTTATAAGTAAGAAATCAGGTATTTTAACTCCAGGACTTTGACTACAAAGCCTTTGTATTCAGTTGTTTTGCTATGAAAAATAGTAAAACAAAAAGCATAAAAATAGAACTGCTATATGACCCAACTCTGCCATTGCCTATATGCGCGGAAGGCTTAAATGGGCATACCAAACACACTTCACATCTGTATCCATTGTTAATCATTAGTAGTAGCTAAGACATGGAGCCAGCCTAAATGTCCACCAACATGAAAAGTTAAAGAAAGGTGATCCATATATACAACGAGATTTTATTCAGCCATAAGGAAAAGTGTAAACATGACTTTGCAAGAAAATATTTGTAACTAAAAATCACATTAAATGAAACAAGCCAGATATAAAAGGAAATAAAAGTAAGAAGGGGACTGTGAGAGAAAAGGAAATGATCTTAAGTGGTTTGGCCACATGTGAAAGCTGAAGGGAAGACTGCTTGTGGAGAGGAAGGGGACCAGGAAGCAGGGAACAACAGGGTCAGGAATAACCGAGGAAGGGAATGAGTAAAACATGGTTGTGTGTGTCTGTGTGTGCACGTGCCATAAGGAAACCCATTACTTTGTGTGATAACTTCAAAAATAAAAACATAAAAATATCTCACATGCTAAAAGTGCTTAGTATACTAGTGCCTATAAATAGTGAAAGCCTTGAAATACTCTATATTTAACAATTAATGTGTTTATTTATGCAGTCTCCTAAATGTGTCTTACTTCCCTCACTTTGTTTATGTCCTTCACTCTATGTTATATATTCTATATATATAAAATCAGGCTTCAAAGCAGTTGCTAGCTGATTTACATTTACGTCCTTTTGGATTATAATTTTGGGAGATAGGATCTACTTCTAGTGATTGAATGAATTTTACAGTTACTATAAATTTTATGATCACTTTTAGTGTTTTCTCACATTTCTTTTCTCTTATTTTTTGATATTTTATATTATTTTTGTATGTTTACTTTTAGGTATCAACCTGGTGGACGATATCTCTCCATGTCTTCCAGCATAATATTTGAAGATATCTAAAGTTTGAAGAAATTCATGGCTCAAGTAACCAAGGTCATCGCATCGGCTCAGCCTTTATGAACATGATTGTGCCCTACAATTCCTCTATACTGTCTGTGAATAGTAAGGATAACAAAAATGGCACTGAAAACAGATCACATCTTAAGAATACTAGGTTATTTGTTGACTAGAGTGTCATCTTTTCTGATAGGATTTATTGCTTACCATCTGAAGTGTCTGCCTCAGAAGTGAGTTAAGTGGAAGGGTTTAATTCATGATAAACAGAACACAGCTGGTTTCAAGTTGATTTTTTTCCAGGAGAGTTCTTTCAAAGTCCAAGGAAGCCAGAATTTTATAAATGTAATTTAAATTTGTTCAACCTACATTTCCCAAAGAAGTGAAAGTGGACTGAGACCTCAGCTAATTACTGTATTTACAAAACCCATGTCTTAAGATAAGGCTTTCTTATTACACACAACTGAATGTAAACAACTCTTCCGATCTGTATACAAATTAGTGGGATTTTGCATGTAAAATTAGGATTATTCTTCAGTTGATGGTGTTAGTGTCTTTAGCACGTGTATTCTAACTGGGTGATGTGGTATTCTTTTCATTCTTTGTGGTAACTGGATCTTTTTATGGTTTTGATATTATTGCTTTGTAAAAGATTTTTATTTCAGAGAAAAATATTCACCTTTAGCATTTAGCATAATGACTTGACACTGACCATTCCAGCCAAAAAAAAAATCATAAATATTAATGGTAAATTATTTATTTCCAAAGAGATCCCCAAATGATACCTGTTAATACTTTTTAAAAAGAAAATGTTTGGCTATTCTGGCTATTCAGAGGTAAAAAGAAAAATAATCCATTTGTAATTATTGCTAACACTAAAATTATAGCTTAGGAAAATCAGAAAAATGTATTAGAATAGAAATATGTCATAATAATTTCTTTGCTAAACATGGTTATTATTTTAAATTGGTTGTCTCAACCTTTGCATTTAAGCCAAAGTTGGGTATTATGTTTTAAAGAGCCAGTGTTTTATTGTAACGTGAACATAGTTGAGTGCATCATGTTTGCAGGTATTGTTTTATGGTCCTGAAATATTTGTCTCTTACAGAATCCATTCTATGTGAATAACCAGACTTGAACTTTTCCAGACAGTCTTGCACCTATTTTCCTTGCAGTTATTCCTAGTGTTCAAGTGTTATATTGCCATGTGTTCAGAATGTAGTTCTATGTAGGTACTGAAAGGAAGGATGTATCATCCTCATTATTTTTCTTTTGTAATGGTTGCATTTTTGATAACCTTTCAAATAGATCCCCCTTTAAACAATTATCAGTAGACAGATTTACTCTGAATTGAAGGTTGCATAACCTGCTTAATTCAAGGACACATAATGCATATAACCTTTTACTGTGAAATGAGGCCAGAGGGCAGTTGACCAGATAATGTAATGCTATTTATAATTTATGATTGGTTCCTGGGATACCCTGGGCAGATCATGGAACCTTTCAGTGCCTCAGTTTCTTCATTTTCAGAATGAAGGACATTTGCTACTTACCTACTGATCTACCTCACGAAACTGTTGTGAGGGGGTTAGGTTGGTGATTGTGTGCTGGAGTTTCTCCTGGACTATTTTGTTTGTGTGTACTTTTCTTTGAGTAGTCTTTTGAAGGTGAAAGGGACGATTATCACAGTAAGTAGGAGGTCTTTGAGAAGCTTTGAAGTCCCCAAAGCAAAATGAACTAATTTGTCTAAAGATGCTGAAATAGTTTCATCATTTGTTCTGTGGATTTACTTTAAAATAATTTTCTTTAAATACATTTTTTTCGTTAATTTTTTTCTTAATACTCAGATGCTGTTGTTGGAATAGAAGGATAAAAAGAGAAGAAATGTCCAACTTTACAATTGACTTTGCTAATGCACTAAACAAATTGATAGGAATGTGTTGAAGGTGTTTTCCTTTAAAGTTACAGTAATAGAAACATATGTGTATAGATACATATGCAGATATGTATATGTATACATATGCTTCACAAATACTGGGTTTCATTATGGCTTTTGAGTTATTTCCACAGTGAATTTTTATTGTTTCTGTGATCCAAAGTGTGTTCACATTTTTTTTATTTAGTTTATTTTTTTTTTAGTTGTTGAAAAAAAATTTCTGACTCCTCCCCGTTTCCCATTTCCCTCCCCCTCCTCCCACACATTGCCCTTCCCCCTCCCCCTCCTCCTCTCTCCCTCCCCCCACTCCATTCCCCCTCCCTCTCGAGAATGAAGAGCAGTCCAGATTCCCTGCCCTGTGAGAAGTCCAAGGTCCTCCCACTTCTATCCAGGACCAGGAAGGTGAGCATCCAAACAGGCTAGGCTCCCACAAAGCCAGTTCATGTATTAGGAACGAAACCCAGTGCCATTGTTCTTGGCTTCTCATCAGCCTTCATTGTCCTCCATGTTCAGAGTCCGGTTTCATCCCATGCTTATTCAGTCCCAGTCCTGCTGGCCTTGGTGAGCTCCTAATAGATCAGTTCCACTGTCACAGTGGGTGGGTGCACCCCTCGTGGTCCTGACTTCCTTGTTCTTCCTCCTTCAGCTCCTCATTTGGACCTTAAGAGCTCAGTCCGGTGCTCCAATTTGGTGTGTTCACATTTTTAAAGGGTTTCTCTTACAGAATTTTGTATGTGACTATATAGGAAAGTTACCTTGCTGGGTAAATTTGAGTTTAGAAGGTAATGATTTGATACTGGAAGACTGAGTTTATTTCTGAGGAATTAAGTTAATATTTATTAAGATATTTTGTGTAAACCACTGATAGTTTGTATAATATTTTTATTTTTTTGAGACACTTATAACATGTAAAGATACAGTCACAAAAATATTACTATAGAGTTCATATGCTTTATGTACAAGATTTTTTTTCTTAAAGAATTATTTCTGTTACTTTTATGTCTTTCTTACATGTTAAGAAATATTTTGTTAGACTTACCTAAAATTTTGTTTTGTTTTGTTTTTGAGACAAAGTCTTAAGTAGCCCAGGCTGGCCTTGAACTGTCTATATAACTAAGGATGACCTTGAATTTCTGATCTTTCTCTTCCACCTCTCAAGTTCTAAGATTAAAGACATGTGCCACAGCACTTAAGTCAATATTTTTAAATAATTGTTAGTTAAGAACATTTAACAAACTAATAACTCAAAATAAATATTATAGAAAAAAATCTATAAATTTCAATAATCACTTATATGTATTGTTAATTTACTTTTTACAACTTCATAGTCATTTTATTAATTGTACATTTTTGTACAATTATTTTAAATAAGAGCTAAAATATAAATATAATCATAAATATTTGCTACTGTGCTACATTCATACAAGAGTTTTAGAATAATTTCATCCTACAAGAGGGTCTCAATTCACACAAATGGTAAGAGTTAAAGTATGAAAAGTTCCCATCATAAAAACAGATCAAATTCATCTGTCTAAACATCTAAAGAGAAGTCTTGCTGCTTGGTATGTTTCTGGCCTCTATCATTTAAATCATCTGATCTAAAATTTAAACATAATGTGTGTCCAAATTAAGTGTAGGTAGGAAAGTCCCTCTGTTTTTGAAAGTTTTTCTAGCATGCTAATGGACAGATTTCATTTATGTTTATTTACAGACCTCATTTTATATTTTTGATAGGTTTAAGAAATGGTTTTGATAGCATATTGATTACCATATTAAGGGGGAAATAAAACGAATAGTTACAGTTCCGGTTATAAAAGTAAGATTTAGTCTTAGATTTTGAATGTCTGAAAAATCACAAAGATGAAAGTATATTTGTACTAAGAGACAAAACAAGTCCCTGGGAGTCAAAGCACACTTGAATTTTCAAAGTGCAATGGACTATGCATTTAACTTTAAAAGCTAAGAAGTGTATTTAGGGTTAGCCTTTCTCTTGAGCCTCCCACTCTCTGATCCTCCCTCCTTTCCCTCCTCTTTTTATCATTTGATTTTCAGTATGCTGACAGAGTTTCCTCTCTTGTTTGTTTTATGTACAGTTATTTTTGATGAGCAGTACACTCAAAAGGAACTACTTCTGATTTAAAATCCCATTACTTGAAATAGCAGTATTGTACTTAAGGAGTAAAACAGGCTGCTGAACCAGTGGACAGTGTCTGAATAGACATGTGCTGTGTACTAGTTCAGTGCACTTTCTTCTAGGGGACAAAGGAGGGCACTGCAGGAAAAGTCATTTTCACTGTAAAAATTTGTATATTTATCATAAAAAGGAACTCATAAAAATGTTCATGTTTAACAATGGAACAAAGGTTTGCAGGAGGCTTTGTGATTTTTTTTTTTTTTTGTATAGTACTTCCAAATCAGTTGCTTTTTGTAGCTAGAGATTTGGAAGATGAGGCAGGTTTAGCCCCATTTCCAGCTCCTGGATCCCAGCCCTGTGGTGCAGGCACTACCCTCCTTTCCACTGCCATGGAGGCATGCTCTCACCTTTATTTGCTTCCATATTAGCCAGCATAACAACAACAACAGCAACAAAATTTCATTTTTAAAGGATTTATCCATTGAGATCAGGTGAGGTATTGCTATAATTTAACTTTTTCTTAATAAAGTAAGACTTGGTATAATTCTGCATTCACTATCCAAAAAGATGTTTTGGTTTCTTCCCCAAAAACCTTTTCTTTTGCAGGTATGTTGATTACAAATAATTTTGTAAAAGAATTTGATTGTGTTTGGTGCAAATGAGTAGGAAGAGTAGCTGGCTGTGGCAGACATACATGGAACAAGTGCACAGCACGCTAATGTGCAGAGCTTTGGAGTTGGTAGTACGGCATAAGTCTTCTGTCTTTAGCAAAAGAATACTGGCTAGCCTCTTTTCTGATTGGCATGCCAAGTTGTAGGGAAGAGACTGTGTTATTTATTTATTTTTTTAAACAATCCAATGGATTTGTTTTTCTTTGTATTTTGGGAACAACTTGAAGGATTTTTATCATTTTAGAAGATAGAGAATATGTATATCTATCTTTTAAATACTATAACCTAATATATATAAATTATAGTATTAAAAAGGACAAATAGCTCTAATTATTGATGTTATTTCCTGGTATTTAATTTTTATAAATGTTTTTGTAAGTAATTGTAGTATTGCTTTTAAATAGTTTTAAAGTCATCCATAAATAAGTTCTGACCCAACATACTGCCTTAGTACAGTATTCTGAAGTACAGTACTCTGATGTGAATCTGAAACAATGCCTGCATTTCCTTCATTTCTTTGTATGTATGTAAACATATACCAGTACCCAGGAAAAGCATACAATAAGCCTAATTTCTACATTGCATTGATAAAGAGCTTGGTATTTTGCCTTCATATAATTCAGTTGTCTAGATGAAATAGAACATAAGTCTTTTCAAATTGTATCCAATCACAATTTTCAAAATGGTTACTTCATTTTTGGGGTGCATGATGCCAAGATTATCTTTAATCAGCTTTTATTACTGGATGTGTAAGAATGGATGTTTTCCTACCTGGCCAGTAGGTTGTAGATTAAATTATTTTTCTGTAGATTCCCACTACATTTTCAAATCTATATTTGGAAAAAACTACAAAGTGCTATTAGTAAGTTAGCATCTTTGGCCTTATCTATGCATAATGTTCCATAGTTTGATTTTGACAAACTCATTGACTCACAATTCCTTTGTAGTATTGTAACTGACTGTGATGTAATGAATTTTTCAAAGTGTTTATATGATTCATTATTAAAATATAGGATATTATATAGCTTTGCATGAAATAAACTACATTTCTGTGAGCTACAATTGCTGGTTATTTATGCATCTTCCATTGAGATTAAACTGTTTTGAGACAATCTAGGTATTCTTTATTCCTTATAATTCACTGTCAAATTTTATAGAACATTTAAAGATGGATAATTAAACAGATATACTCTTAGTATCTGTTCTGTCATGTGTTTACAATGAAAACAGAAGTAAACAGAAGCTTAATGTGCTCCAAACCTAGTAGGTCTATAGATGTGCTTGTCACTGAGAATTACCTGGATGAATCCCAGGATGCATAATTTAAAGAAAATGACAAACTTCATCAAAATACAGGGAGTTTAAAGAAAACACTAAAAAACAAAACAACAAAATTAAGAAGAAATAACTTAAGGAGAATAAACTTCTGAGTGATGCCCAGTAATAGCCAGGCACAGATGGAGGAGGGACAAGAGGGACCCCACTCCTCAATGCTGAACTATACATCCCGGGAGAGGGGAGTGATTGCCTTCTGTGTCCAGTGGTGACCCCATCAGTCCCCAATATCCAATCCAGTGGTATTACAGATAACCCTCATTAAACTGAATTAGTCATAAGAGGGGACCCGAGGCCATGGACCTGGGAAAATGACTGAGGGGAGGAGGGAACTGGAGGAAGATAAGGGGATGCTCGAGTAATCAGACTGCACTAAGTAGATGTAGGAGGTTGTTAAAGGGCTAATTTAATTGATAAAGATCTGCTCAGTGTAAGAAAGTAGCTGTTTGTGGAAGACTGATTTCCATTTTAAATGTCCTGAATATGAATACCTTTTATTTGGTTCAACAATTTGATTAACCAACCTTGATTAATTTCAAGGTTGTACAGAGTGCTGTGCTGGGGACTTCAGGAGATGCAAAGATGAAGAAGACTCACTCCTCCTGGACCACTGACAGCTCCCAGCTGTCTTCCATCATTTACAGATCAATTAAAGGCAAGATTTATCTATCCTTGGTGGTGCTTTTTATTTAAGTGGTCAGTACTTACAGATTAACTCTGCTAGGCTCATAATTTCCCTCAGGGAAAGTCAAATGAACCAACTCAAGGTACTTTAAGAGGAATGCCTTGTGCTGGGTTAAAATTCTTAGATTGCCCTGCGATAGAAGTGGGAAGCACACTGAATCCCTGCTGTGCCTTGA